GGGAACTCACGGGTTTCCCAAAAATTGGAGGAAATAAGAGCAATTAACGTAAACCCAAGCCAATTCAAGGAAAAACAAAGGGATTTAATGGCTGTTTCTTACCCAAAACCCAAGCAATTCGCCCCCACAAAGCAGGAGCAGCCGGCGGTGAGGAGCAGAGCAAGGCAGATCCGAAAGCTTCATGCAGGGGGAGAATTTCTGGGTTCCAATTCAGGTTCTAGAGCAAGAAGGAAGGAGAAATCTCCAAGCTTTCTCACCGGTTTCTCAAGCATGGCTGGGTTCCTCTTTTTTTTTGGCTGCAGCGGGAAGAAAGGAGAAGAAGAGCAGAATCGGGCTGGAGAAGAAAGAGGAAAAGGGAGAAAAGAAATAAGCCATCCTTATCCAAATTCTCCTCTTTTAAGTCCCTCAAGTTTGGGAATGTTGGCTATTAAGCCCAAAACAATCTTTTCTCACAATCAAGTCCTTATCTTACACTTAAATATTCCCGAAAATTTGGGATATTACAATAAACCTACCCAAAATCACCTTACACCATTTCTTCTCAAGCACAACATCAATAGGTGATACAAAATTATATGCAGCTTTCACAGTATAATTTCCATTACTATCATGCACCCACTTCCATATATCCATTCCTTCTTTTGTTAACCTTGCCCTACTAAGTACTAATCAAAATTGCTCTTCCTCACCCACTTCCCTACCCATACAAGCTTTCCTCCACTCCATCTTCCACTGCCAAACATCCCCATCCAAATAAACAATATCCTTCACTGACCCATCCTTTAGACAAGCAATAACAAACAGCCAAGGAAATAAATGATTCAAGGCTTTATCATCCACCCATTTATCCTTCCAAAACCTAACCAAATCCCCATCTCCTATATGCCACTTAAACCCTTTAACTAGCATCAATTCTAACCAGATAAACCCCTTCCCATTACTAATAACATCACTCCACACCCAAGACCAATTTAAAGATGCAAAAGAAGTAATATCTGCCACATTCTTACCCTCATAATACTTCTCCCAATTTTTTTTTTTTTATCAGCAAAACAAAGGAAAATATATTATTAGAAAGAGTACAAGGGGTACTCCACACTTCTCCCAAATTACCCTCTTCCACAACCCACTTCCCAATCTCCTAATCTTTTCCACCACTTACCTAACAAAGCCCCATTCCTCAGTCCCACATCAGCCACTCCTAACCCACCCTTATCTTTTGCCCAACAAATAAACTCCCAATCTATCCAATTAATATGAAAAGAAAAAAAAAATTATCCACTCCTATCCCTCATATGGGATTGTTAACTTGTAATCTTACATGAAAAGAAAAAAGGCTTATATTTAGGCATTTGTGAGGGTTTTTTACAGACGGTGGAGGCAATATTGATGTATGTAAGTCCGTGGTGGCGATATTGACCTGTGCAAAATATGGGGCATGCTGTGGGGAAAAAGCCATTGAAACCACCGTTCAAGGTGGTGGAATCCCTGTACTAGGTGAGGGGAGAGTTCATATATTTTTTAATCGATCACCGGGGTACTTGAAGTCATAAACTGTATCTTTTACTTAACAACAGTTCTATATAGCCAAGACTCAAAGATTAACTAAATCCACAAGCTTTGTTTGTCTGTCCATTCATTCATACAAAGATATATGATTTTTATTTTATTTTATTTTAAATTATACAATAAAAAAAAAAATCTTTTTCCTATCTTTTAACCCACTTCAACCCAATACCTCTCACTTCTATAGTAAGAAGGTTATTATTGAATGACTCCTTACCTAATGCACGACTCTACTAAAGTAGAAGAGAAAAAAAAAAAAAATTTTGTTTCCAACTTATTTAGTAATAACCAGGGGAACGTATTGAGACAAACATAACGATTTAAATACTAACAACCAATGAATGCTTCAAGCTTCCAACATGAAGCTCATGCTTTCCTAAAGCAATTTTTCTTTCCCCAACTTCATCAGTCACACTCAAATCCCTACAAGCATCCACCTTAAATCTCACAAGTGCTCCTGTTTCTCCATTCAAGAACACCTTCTCAAAGCCCAATAACTGCTTCTTTGGAGAGTTATGCACGGAAGGTGGAGTAGAAAACAAGAGAATTGTATGACTTCCACTCATTCCAGTGTTTTGAACTTTGATGTGTATGTCAAAAGCTAAGTTTTGACAATTCTGTTCAGTAGCGTCGATGGATATGCATTCAGACAAGCGACATGCATGATTGTCTTCCAAGGGTATCGACACCAATTTTGGTGCCTTTAGCAATTGATAACTGAATTTTGAGTAGCTCAGTCCATATCCAAACGGATAGACGGTCTCCCCGGTGTAAAATCTATAACTCCTACCAGGATAGCCACGTAAAAGATCTGGTCTCATGTTCATGATCGTCATCGGAACCTTGTCCACAAATGATTGTGGATACCATGTTATCGGCAATCTTCCACCTAAAACAATTATAATCAATGAATCGAATTTCCTTTATATAAGGATTATGAAAATGAAGCTAATTGCTTGACTTACATGGATTATAATACCCAAAAATAATATCGGCAATGGCACCACCACCAGCCTCACCAGGATAACCAACCCAAAGTATACTTGTGATCTTGTCATCATTCTTGGCAAATGTTATGTCAAAACCTCCTCCTGACATTATAAGAAGAATAACCGGTCCTTTTGCGACTTTTGCGACTTCCGTTACTAGAAGTGTTTGATTCCCTGGCAATAAAAGATTATCCCTGTCAAGGCCCTCGGTCTCGATAGATTGATCTTCACCCATGACAAGCACGGTGGCATCTGCTGAGGCAGCAATCTTCTTTGCTTCATCTAACTGTACAGTGTTGCATGTCACATTAGAGCAGCCAGGCTGATAAGTTGTTGTGACTAAGGCTGACAGGCCTTGTAAAGGAGTTATATAGTTGCACGGAACGCCTAAAACATTCAAAAATTCAATTAAGAAACAGCACAAAATTGTTTCGAAGTTGAGAAATTCAGCTATGTGTATGATAACCACCTTTGTAGTCTCCAAGCATGGTTTCGCTGGCATTCGCATTTGGTCCAATAACTGCCAAGGTTTTGATGGCGGTGGAGGATAGAGGTAATGAACCTTCACTGTTCTTTAGCAGTACTATACCTTGCCTTGCAGCTTCACGGGCCAAGTCTTGGTTCTCTGGAGTACACACATCTTTTGGACCAAGCTTTCCGTAGGGTCCATGTCTCGGATCACCATTAAAGAAACCGACCCGCATCAAGGTGGCGAAGCTGTTATAGAGGGCTTTATCAATGTCAGACTCTTTTATCAATCCTTGTTTCAGTGCAGCCTCAGCGTGTTCGGAGACAAAGGTTCCACAATCTAAATCTAACCCTGAAATGTAAGTGAAACTCTAGTCACTAGTCATGTCCATCAATCCAATCAAAACAGTAACAGAATGGATTCATTGTATAAGTGGAGTGACCTGACAAAATGGCTACCGCGACAGCTTCCTCTGGTGTCTTGGTATAGTTTTGGGAAGAGTAGAGCACAGATACAGAGTCACAATCAGAAACAATATATCTGCAGCAAACCAATTGCCAGTTAGTTAGTCAACTATTATTGTTATCGAAGAATCTTAAAATCAATGAAATATGTATACCCATTCAATTTCCATTGACCCCGGATTACTCCTCCAAGGAGATGTGGATCTCCACAAGCTGGCTTTCCATTAACTTGATTGTAAGAACACATGACACTTGCCACATTCCCATCTATTACACAGCTCTTGAATGGTGGTTGAAATGTATCCTCCATGTCTTGCCTTGTTACCTAAGAAAAGACAAACAAGACAGAGTTATTACTACATTAATAGGAACAAAGTACCAATTATTCTAATGAAGCCTAAATTTATACCACAGCATTGAAGGAGTAACGTTCAATTCCTCTCCAAGATTCCAAATCATAGGCGGTGTAATGTTTGCAGCATGCTGCCATTTTGAGAAGATTTGGGTCTCCATTGTCCATTTGCTGCAGACCTTTCACAAATGCAACGGCATATCTACTGGAGAGCAGAGGATCTTCACCTGGGGTTTCTTGCCCTCTTCCCCATCTAGGGTCTCGAAATATGTTTACATTTGGAGCCCAAAATGTAAGCCCTGTTTGTGCAACAATGTACATTGCCCTAGCTTCTGTTGACACTACCTGCACAAACTCAACACAAAATAATAAATAAATAAACTTTGACACCCTAAACTTTCTAAGAGTCAAATTAACCTCATTTTCATTTTGTCACAAAATTAACCTAATTTTTAATTTTCGTTTACCAATTAAGGAATAAAGAAAATAACAATGAAGATGAAGATGGAATATGAAGATTATGATTTATGACTTTAATAAGAAAAACATAAATCATACATCTTTTATGTCCACCGAAAAAAGAAATTCGTCTATTGAGAAAAAACAAAAATATCCTTAATGATTTAAAGACATTTTGGTTTTTTTACTAATTTGTGCTTATATTTTTTATAAAGGACCACAAAACTTTAGAATATGTTTGATTTGAGAGAAACAAGAAAGAGACAGGAGGGATGAATTTTTTAACCAGTCATATTACAATAAAAGTGTTTGGCAAAATCTTAAAAAACAACTTATTTAAACTCAAATTCTTAAAATTAGCTTTTAAAGTAACTTTTAAACAAATTTGAGAAAGCTATATATCCAAACTTTCTCAAAACTCACTTAAAAGCTACTTTGAAAATCTAATTTTGAATTTTTTTCCAACTAAATTTTAGATTTGCAAAAGAAAAAATTTTCTTTTAAAACAAATACTCTTTAAATTTTGTTAAACACCCTCAATATTGACCAATATTATAATTTAATTAATTAAAAAACTCATCTATCCCCCCTCTGCATCCCTTAATTTTACTCAAACTAAACATACTCTAATCATTCACAAGAATAAGAGTGCTCACCCTTCCAATTTCTTCAAACAGAGAAATATTGAAGGTAGCTGCTGTCAAAATGACCTGCGGAAAGCTGGTGGCGCCCTTAATCACGCCGTCAAAATTCGTTGCACCACCAGTTGCAACTCCATGTAGAGCCTCAGACCACCACTGGTATTGGGGTATTCCCAACCGGCTAACGTTTTCATTAGAATTCACCAAAAAACCAATTTTCTCCGACAATGTGAGCCTCCCCACCAAGTCAGAGACCCTCTCCTCCACCCCCAGCGACGCGTTGCAGAACCTAAAACTCGCCAACTCCTTATGCCTAGCAATATCACATGCAAAAGGAGGCAGTTTTTCAGCAAATGCTGGGCTCCTGGTAAAAGGAAAGCAAAGGAAAGAAAGGAAAAAGAAGAGAACAGAGGACATCTTGGATGAAGTGTGAAGTTGAGAATGCTTGGGAGAGGTAATAAACTGTCTAATTAGCCTCGCTTTTATACTTGTTTCAGGATTGCTGATCGGGGCCTTGGCATTGGATTTAATCTCTATCATATCTGTACTCCAATGTTTCACCAGCCAATCATATGAATAACGTCAAATTTTTATAGTTTTTTATACATAATGTCAAATTTACGTCTTAAACGTTCACGAAATCAGAACAGATTCTTGGTTCCTTACACGTTTCGGTTTTTTTTTATTTTTTTATTATTATTATTTTTGAATGTGGGTAATTTTGAAGATGAGGAGGGGGATGAGATTACAAGTGTGAGAATTGTAAAAGTGCAAGTATGAATTTCAATATAAAACTTGCATTTAATTTAAGATTGTGTTTGAAATTATTATAGAGTGTGTTGTACCTATAATTTTTTTAGTATTCATCAGAGAAATTATCTTATTGTTTAATAATTGCTGTAAAAGAGTCTTACACATTAACATGATTATTAAATTAAACAAAAAAATTAATTAAAATTAATTTAATTATAATAAATTAATACTTTTATGAGCTATTGTGAGAAAAAGCACTGTGGAAAAGTGACCCTAAATTTGATCTAAAACCAATTGACAATTGGTAGAGTAGTTTTTCTTGTCTCTTTAATATTTTTCCAATGTGTGATTTTCCCACTTCAAACACCCTCTTCACTTGCAAGCTCGGTATTAACTTAACTTCGAGTCACGTCACATGAATCTCAGGGTACTCCAATGTGTGATTTTCTCACTTTACACGCTCTCCTCCTGATATTAACTTTCAAGTCCCATCATGTGGATCTCAAAATACTCCAATGTGGCTTCATACGCAACACTCTTCTCATGTACAAATTTGATATTAACTTTGACTCCTGCCACATGGATCTTAGGCTATGAATCTAAGAGGCCCTCTACACATGTAGGTTTGATCTATCACGTATATCTTAGGTTAATGAATGAGCTTGATATGCCCTCCTTTCATAGAGGCCTGCATTGTCACGAAATCCTAGACATCATAGGAAGGAAGCTTATTGGGTTCCTTAACACTAAGATAACGAATGAGCTTGATATGCCCTCCTTTCATAGAGGCCTGCATTGTCACGAAATCCTAGACATCATAGGAAGGAAGCTTATTGGGTTCCTTAACCATGTGAAAATTTGACAAATGAGTTTTAACACAAAACTTGCATCTAACTCAAGATTAAGTGACAATAAGTGAAATAACCTTTTTTATATTTAACTAAAATGTCTTCTTAATATTTTTCTAATGTAAAATTTTTCCATTTTAACATTCCCTCTTTAGATGCAAGCTCGGTATTAACATCAAATTCTATCGTGCAAATCTCATGCCACAGCCTTAAGAGAAGGGGTTGGATGAGACTTGAACCCCCTAACACTGTCGCCAAAACGCAAAGAGTACAATGGTCATTGATATTAATTTTTCCAGTAGGTGGTTGGCAACAAGTTTTGTTTAACTTGCTTGACATTTGAAAAGTGAAAGAGAAACCGAGACTTCATGCATCGATATATGGCAAGAAATGATTGATATATGGCACTGCATCATTTTCGAAAGTGCAAGAAAGTGGAAATTATATACCTTGGAGCAGGTAAGGTAAATATTATCAATTAAGGATAATGTTGTAAATGTCAAATTCTAGGGGTCAGATGTCAATTTTGATTGTCATGTCATGTAATCTACCTAATGGTTTCTTTGAATTAACTTGGCAAACTTGCCTACCAAAGTTCAATTCATTAACTTTTTATCTTTGACCTTCCAATGGATTCTTTTGCTTATCTTGATATGAAATTTTCCATGGTTGAAGTTGGCAAACTTGTCTTTAGCTTTAATCTAGGTTACTTGTGACTTTTTTCTCCCAGTAATTCCATTTTTTTGGGATATTTTTCTCCCAATATGCCAAGTTCCTAACTCTGATATATGTATATTTTTTGGTCCACATGCTCCCAATGGCGTGGCACACCACGGGCCTTGTAGGAGCCCTATGGTTTATCTTATCTCCTCCTTTTCTCAGTAATTATTCTTCTAAAAGAAAAAAAAAAAAAATACATGTATACTTTTTTAGGTTTAGAATATCTGTAGATTAATTTATGAGATTAATGAAAATCAAGATATTTTGGTAAAAGAAATGCTAAGAATGATAATAAAAAATTTTAATATCTTTAATCAATTAACATATAAGAAATATTTATTAAAGATATTTGAATAATTTGACAAATAATTTTAAGATTTTAAATATTAAAATGTCATGATTTTCACTTTTCTCTTAATTTAAGCACATCTCAAGAATAGTATTTTCTTAAATGATCGGCATCGTACTCCCTCACATCGACTTGACACATTCAAGCAAATTAACTCTTTTAAATAGTAATCTCAAAGTTGTAAATCTACTTTACAAAATAAACATTTATTTACAAAGTAGATCAAACTCTTATAATTGTTCTTATATATGTATTTTTGTACACATATGTACTAACCAAGCAAATGTTAGGCCCAAAATAAGCTTTTGATAGAAGGGCGCCTTCTATTTCCTAAACCTCAAGGCCGAGTTTATATTTAGCTGAAACGGCTCGTTTTGTGAGTCGGTATTTCGTGATTAAATTTAAAGCATAATTACAACGTTAATTGATTAATTATAAACTAGTTGATACCCCGAGCACTGCTGGGCCGTAAAATGCAAAAAAAAAATCCTTTTATTTAAAAATTTAATATAAAAATGATATATTAATAAAAAACAATTAATAAAATTAGATTACAGTAATAGAAATACATGTTTAATGATTTAAAAAACAATCAAGAAGTCCTTAATATGATGGGTTTATTTTTTATTTTTTACTAATCTCTCAATATCCAAAAGTCATCCGATTGATTTAGAATTAAATCGTCTCAGACCCTATAAAGGGAGAAACTCTTCCAACATTTATTTCTTTATTTATAAGACTTAAATTCAAAATCTTATTTAAAGAGAGCTTAATTTCTTCTATTCGGATCAATTAATTGTTGGTTATATGATGATGGGTTTATTGATGGACATAATCTATACTAAAACTCAAAAATTTTAATAGTCTATTTGCACTAAATATAATATTTATTAATAATTTAATGAAAGGCATGATCTAAAAATGTTGAAATGGACAAATTCCATATAACATACAATTAACCATGGCTGAATATAGGATTTGAAAGGTAGATGTCAACATGGCTGAACATAGGATTTGAAAGGTAGATTTTAACATGAGAAAGAGTCTAATATTTTATTGATAGTTATAACAAAACACTTAATTAAAAAAAATTGCCTTCATTAAAATTTCATCAGCAAAAAATGGGTTTTTAAAGTGCTGCTAGCAATATAAACGTTGAAGTTTAGCCATTTAGGAATACGCATTGAATGACAGTCTGGTAAAATTTTCATCCAACTCAATCACTTTTAGACATGTGAATGCATCTTTAATGTGATTATAAGAGAAAAAAAAGGAATGTAATAGGTAAAGGAAAAGGACCTGGGGGAATATATTTTTAATCTAGATGATACTCGTGCCTCGCATGGGAATGTTCTAATAAAAAATAATATGAAAAATAACGAAAAACTAATAATAAATAAAATATATAGGATATTAAAAATTAATGTTAAGTTGATGTTCATTACATTTCTAAAAGTTTGATTATTGAGTTATTGAAAATATGAAATAAGACATGTGAATGCCTCTTCAATCTAAATAATATCCATAGCTCTTATGAAAATGTTACAATGAAAGATAACATGAAAAAGAACTAAAAACAAATAAATACAATGTATAAGATATTAGAACTTAATGTTAGGTTGTTGTTCATTATTTTTCTAAAAATTTAATTATTGAGTTATGGAAGCCTTAAGCAAACATCCTATTTACTGTCACCAAGAAGAAGCAATTTAAGGACAACAACAATGAAACAATTTAGAACTTTCAAAATCATTCTATTTGGAATAAAGATGATTAAAGACAAGCAACTGATCAGTTTCCCATAAAACATAGTTTTCAAGCTCCAAGATGTAATACTTCATACATTAGCTGGGCTATGTCCATGTAATATCTGGTATTTGTTTATTTTATTTTATAACTTTTAAATAATTTTATTTAAGTCCTTAAAGGATTTAAATGTAAGGAGATGGAATTAAGGGGTTTAACTATAAAGGAATCAAAAGTGGAAGGACAAACCAAAGAAATATTAATGATTTTATTAAAGCTTGAATAAGAAACGGTGCTGGGTGTTTGCAAAATTGCCGCTGCCCACTTCCGGAAACAAATAGAAAGGGGATTTCGTCTTGTAGTTGATCGGATTATTTGTATAGGGAATTTTATGATAAGTTTCTTAATTATGTGCTAGTTTTATTCTTAGATCTAATTTACTAATTAAGAGTATGAATCAAAAAAGGAATTGAGGGAATTTTTGGGACATTATTTTTTTGTCAGATTTGATTCTAACAAAATGGCGTACAATTTGTAGATCCTTCCAATTCTAATAAAGAAGATGATACAAAAGTTTTACATAATTCAAAAGGCTGTGTTGTATAGAAATTGATTAATTATTCAAGGTAAATTGTTATACCCTTTAGTATCCTTTTTAAAAGGTTTGTTTTATTAAAATTTATTTTACCTTTTTAATGTATTTTATATAATCTTATATGGTTACTATGTTTTAAAAATAAAAATATTTTATAATGAAATGAGATGAGTATTGATCAAGTATTTTGAGTGGAGACTATTTTCTATTGAAAAGTATGGTTTATCAAATTGGCAATCATTTTTAATACTTGGTTTTCATGTTCTTCGTTAGTTGGTTAACTTGACGTGTTCCTCAGGGGTATATTGATGGTATTGATGGTAGTCCCAAGATCTATTTATCATGGAGTGTGATATGAAGTGTGATGTTATATTTGAAGTGTGATGCAGCCTAAAGAACTTGTATTTGTTGTTTCTTTTTTTTATCTGGTTTGGAATATGGTTTCCTCTTTATGAAGTTGTTTACTTTATTTAATTATCATTTTTGCTGAAATATAATGCTAGATCAAACTAGATGGGTATACTCTTACTGAGCTATCTAGCTTATGCTTCTAAATCTCATCTCATTTCAGATAAATAAGAGTGAGCATTTGGGGTTGCATTTGGGAATAAGAGGCGCAACGATCCTAGAGTAATTCTTTGGTTTAGTTTAAGTTATTTCTGGATTGTGGAATATTTAGAGATGAAGACTTATTTGCTATGACTTATTGCTATAAGATTTATGTGGGAGTTTATGAAGTAAGGATCAAGTGTTCGGATTTGACCAATTGCGTGTACATGTTAATACAGATGGAGTCTATTATAGAATTTAAGTTAATTTCATTTAGATATTAAAAGTTGTTTAGATGTGGTAGCCTTATACATTTATAGGGTCATCCCTATAGATATGTGGCGTTTGTCATGCCTTGACTTTTGGGTTGAGACGTGATAGTCCATTTGGTCAAACAGAATATAGACGGAAAAAGGACATAAGTAGAAATATTGCATTTTGAACTCAAAGACTTCCTTTCGGACAACTTCTAACCAAAACCTCTATGATATATTTTACATCCTCAATCCTTTCATCTTTCTATTAAAAGACTAAACTACCATTAAGAAATTTTCATGTATTCTTAATTCATTGAAGGTATTTTTGTCATATCATATCCTATACTGATTTTTTTGTTTTTCAACTCAAGGCACAGTATTACTTAAAAGATTTATGTTGTTTAATAAAATTGTAATTTAAACACTAAAATTACTAAAATACTACTAATAATATAACATAACGAATAGTGGGAAAGAGTTCCATTAAAAATATTTTAAGTGCAATCTAACTTGTAATATATATTTTTTTTCATTAAGACAAAACTACTAGTAATATATTCATGCATTCTTTATTCATCAAGTCATTTTCTTATCTTTATATATATATCATAGTGATTTTTTTATTGAAAAGACTAAACTTCTATTAAGAAATCTTCATGCATTTTTAACTCATTAAGAGTATCTTTATCATTTCAAATTTTATTGTGCTCAAAAGGTAATTTAACTAGTTAAAAACTTAAAATTTTAAATTAGAAATTTGAAGTTTAAATTTAAATTAAGTGAAAAATATTTGAGTAAAGAGGAGAACTGTCTCTTCTTATCTACCTCTTGTCAAATGAACGAAAACAAAAATTAAAAATTTCTCGAGGAGCCAAACCCAGAGGGCCGAAAAAAGGCCGATTGTGACATATTTTTTTTCTTTTAGGGTAAAATTATTATTTTGTTCCTACTTTTAAAAATATAAATTCCTTTTAGCCCCTTTACTTCTTTTAGTTAAAACTAATTCAAACTAATCTTGTTAGGGTTTGAAATTTTTAGGATTTTGCGTTTAAAGTGTTAGGGTTAAGTGTTTAAATTTTTTAAGATTTAATATTTAAGGTGTTAGGATTTAAATTGTTTGGATTTTATATTTTATGATGTTAGGGTTTATCTTTTGATAATTTTGTAGTCATGCTACAAAACACATTTGTGTAAAGGGTAATATTATAGGGATTTAAATTTTATATTATTAAAAATCTACTTTTTTAAACTTTAAATTACTCTAAACTTAAAATCTAAATCCTAACACATTAAACATTAAATTTGAAAAAACATAAACCCTAATATCATAAAATATAGAATTCAAAAAATCTAAACTCTAATATAATATAATATAGAATCTAAATAATTTAAACCCAAATACCTTAAGAACTAAATTTTAAAAAAATTTAAACACAAAAGCTCAACACCATAAACACAAAACCTTAAAAATTTTAAACCATAACAAAATTAGTTTAAATTATTTTTAACTAAAAAAAGTAAGGGGACTAAAATAAATTTATATTGTTGAAAGTAAGGACTAAATAATAAATTTACCCTAAAAAAATTCTGGCACAGTCGAGCTTTGCTCAGCCCTCTGGGGACGATATATCCTCTCATTTTCCTAAAAAAATTTTATTAATTCTTTTTTTAAATTTTTTATGATAAATATATAATTTTTTATTTTAATTTTATTACTATATATTTTTTAAAATAATTATATTATTAAAGATATCACTTTCTTTTTTTATTTATTTTATTAAGATAATATAAATAAATCTATAAATTATTTTAAAAATTTTAATTAAAAAATAATTATTATTTTAAAATAAAGAAAGTATTAAAATATAATTCAGACCCCAAAATTCATAAAATATTATCAACCAAAACCCTATTCAACTGACTGGCTGGAAATGAAACCCTGAAGGATGAAGCTTCTTCATGTCTCCCCCAAAGCCGAAATCGATTTCTTTCTCATGAATCATCTTCTTAGGTCAAGTCAATGCTTTGGTTCTGTTACTGCAAGGTTTCGGAGGGGCCTCGCATTTTCTACTGAAACCCTAAGAACCACCTCCTCTTCAAATGCCGGCGACTCTTTGCGTCTTTGGATCTCACAAACCAGCGATCCAAGGGCCTCTATCATTCCAGTGCTCAATCAATGGCTCTACCAACGGAAAGGAGTCCATATATACGAGCTCCAATCGATCATTAAAATGCTCCGCCACAACGGTCACTTAGAGCAAGCTCTTGAGGTAAATTTGTACCCATATGGTTGTAATTCCAATACCTGATTTATCAATAGAGTTTCAAATGCATTGTCACAAAAATGGAATTTGAATTTGAGGTATATTGAAAATTATTTAGTTGTTTTGTTACTAGCCCTTTTTATAAAATAAAGGGTCCTCGTTGGTTGAAAACAGTTTTCATCTCTTGGAAATCTAAAATGGGATTTTAAGTCTATCTATTAATTTTCTTTAAATTGTAAAAATTTTGTTGCTTCTATTGAACATTGGGGTCAGCATAGTATTATTAATGCTGTCTACTGTATAATTAAAATGGTGGCACTGATGAGTGATGCAGCAAGAGTAGTAATGCTGTAACTCTGTTGGTTTGAGGGCCACAATATTTGCAGTGTTGGTGATGGTGATTGTTCTAGTTGTATAATATGTGAGCAATGATAATGATAACCATTTTGAAGGGGGCATGGGGGTGATTATGGAATTTGGTTCTGGTGGTGTTCAGCTAATTTGCTGCCACTTCTAACGCCATGAGGTCATGGTGGTGTTGAACCTTATGTGGTTTAAAAGGTTTGCTGATGATGATAGCATCTCGATATTAGTGTAATGGAACCTATAAAATGAAATTTTTTAAATTACAGACTCAATTCAGATGGGCCTAAAAATGTCAGATTAGATTCTAAAAGGACAACTAGAATAAGATTGGATCATTTTGTTGATTCTGATATGCTTGTAGTCTATATCATAATTTTATGATGTGATTTTCCTCGTCATGTTTCTATTCAATCAGTGATCAGTCTTTGATGGAACATAGCATAAAAATTGTTTTTTGCTTGAGAACTTAACTCTAGTTTCTTAATTTTCCTCCACAAAGGTTTCTTAGAACTTATGCTGTTGGAATCATTAGTAAGATTGAAATCTGAGATTCTACTGAATGAGCATACCCTTACAGCACAGTTTTATTTTTATTTTTTATTTTGCATTTTAACAGTAAGTCATGACTTGTGAGATATCAAGTTCTAGGATGCATAAGTTATCTTTAAGGATGAAAATTTACTTCACAAGCCTCAAATGATGCTTCTGAATTCAGTCTTTTTTTATTTTTCATGTCAGATTTCTGAATGGGTCACCTACAAAATTGTCCGATTTATTTCATCTGAAGATATTGCCACGCAGCTGGATCTAATCTCAAAAGTTCATGGCCTAGAACAAGCAGAAAAGTATTTCATTGGCATCCCTGAAACCTTGAAGACAGCTAAGGTTTTTCGTGCCCTTTTGAATTGCTATGCACAAAATAAGTGCTTGGAAAAGGCAGAGGCCACAATGCAAAAGATGAAGGAGTTAGGCTGTGCTAAAAGTGCATTGTCTTTCAATATAATTTTGGAGCTTGCTGCTGAGCTAGGAAGACATGAGAAGATAGACAACCTTATGCAAGAGATGGAGGAAAAGGGTATAAATTATAATGCAATCACATTCAATACTCTATTAAAGGTTTATGGATCCACTTCCGACATAGAGAAAATAGAGAAACTTCTAATTAAGATGGCAGCTAATCCTCACGTAAAAGTGGACTCACATGCTATTGTTGCTGCTGCAAATGGGTGCTTGAGAGCTGGCCTTGCTGAAAAGACTTTGCAAATGTTGAAGAAAGCTGGGCAGCTATTTAGTAAGAAAACAGAAAAGCCTTATGAGAAATTCATATCATTATATGCCGCTTGTGGGCAAAAAAATGAAGTATACTGTTTATGGAATATGTACAAGAAAATAGGGAAATTCAACCATTCTGGGTATACATCTATGATAAGCTCATTGGTGAAATTTGATGATTTTGATGATGCAGAGAAGATTTTTGAGGAGTGGGAATCAGGATATGCAGTCTATGATGCCCAAGTTCAAAATTTATTGATTAGTGCTTATTGCAAAAGGGGTCTTTTGGTAAAGGCTGAATTATATATTAACAGACTTTTAAAGGGTGGGAAGGAGCCTAGTGCAACTATCTGGAGTGCTCTTGCAAGAGGATATCAAAGAAATAACCAAATGGAGAAATCAGTGGCAGCCATGAAGAAAGCAATCTTGGTCAGTACACTGCAATGGAAACCTAACTATCTTACTTTGGCTGCATGTGTTGAGAATTTAGAAGGGAAGAAACAGAAGAGAAGAGCAGAAGAGCTTTTGAAGTTGCTCATAGAATGTGGTTACAATACAATGGTAAATGAAATTAAGATTAATAACTTGGGTGAAAATGACCTTGTTCAGATGGGAGGTGATGAGAGTTTTGATGTAGAAACCACTAATCATGGATTTTTTATGAGAATTTCAAAGTTGCTTTCTGCTGGAACACATTGAAGAACTGGAAAGTGTGAAGTCAACAGACTTGCTCAACTGAAAATCTGCAGTTGATGGTTACTTTGAAAAGGAGGAAATTAGGGCACTGAGCAGTTGGAACTTAAACAGCTTTTGCTATCAATTAAAGGCTTCAAGTCCATTTTCAGTAGGCTGCCCCTCACCAAAATAGAGACTCCTGCCTTTTCAAACAATGACTTGTCCTCAGTTCACAAAGCACACTTGTTGTTTAAGCAGGTTTTCAATTTCACTTTAATTATTTTAGTCTCGAGCAAGTTGATCTACCAACAACGCTGTTTGATTTCTGTTAGTCAATTTGAGAGGTCACTCATTGTGTTCTAGAGATTCCTCTGCATCAGCAATATGTGAAGGACAAGCTAATTCAGAATGGAACTGCTAATGGACAATTTTTCATTAAGTCTGCTTGCTGTCTTCCTTGGGAGATGTTCTTCCAAGGTGACTTTCAGGAGTTTAATCATCTAACGAAGCCTGTCTGTAATGCTATTTGGTTTATGGACACCCTCCCTAAGGTTAAGCATTTTTTATGGAGAGTGGTTTGGGGTAATACCGCCAACAAGGGAGGTGCTAATGAGTAGAGTAGTGCAGGTTCCTCAGGACTCTGGTGCTTGTGGCCTCACTATGGAATCATATTTTTATATTCTTTTCCAATGTTACCGGAGTAAGGAAGTCTGGGCGAGGATTTACCTGGGCTTGGATGTTAGTTCTTGGTGACAGGAGTCTTTTCTGGATGACTATCCTTCTTAGATTGAACTAGGAGCAAGAGAATTGATGGCCACATCCACATGGTTTATCTGGTAGAATCAAAATAATTGCATTTTCATTTCTTCTTGTTCAAATGTAGGAAGACCGGTGCAGTTGATAACAAATTGCTTAGAGTACAAAAGCCTTGGAAAGAAAGAACAGAGAATCAACTGGGGCTATAGGAGCGGTTGCCCCTGTTAAAACAGCAACCTTATGGGAAGCTCTGAGGTAGGGAGTTACAGAGATAAATATTGATGCAGCTATCCCTCATGGACAGGAAACTGTGCGCCTTGGACTGGTTTTAAGAGACAGTACAAGCCAGGCACTAGCTACTGGACAGAAAGTTTTGCCTTTCAAATTCTCAGCTTTCATGCTGAAACTCTTGCTTTTGACTTTGGCATTCAACTGGGAAAGGAATTTGGATGTAGATATATTTATCGTAGCGGATAGCTTGCAAGCCATTGCAATTGCAGGCTCTAAGGAGGAATGTTTTTTTTTTCTATTGGAGCGGTTGTTGAGGACTCACGTGCAAAGGCGAAATGCTTTTTCATTCCTGTCAATTTTTCTCACAAGGGAGTGGAATTTTTTATCGCATAGGGTTTGCCTAAATCATTTCAGCTGCCGTGCCATGGGCGGGTGTTTGTTCGGTACTCTTTCAAGTGCTAACTGTAATCTTGAGGCATTTTAAGTAATAGTAATGCTCTCCTATCATACAAAGAATAAATAAATAAATAAAGGAGGTGTCTCCAACTTTTAAAAAGATCTTTTCTGTTGCAATTTGCAAAAATCAAAATCATTCCAAACTCAATTCTCTTAAAAGGTCTTCTAATTTTACTAAAGTTTTAAACTTCTAAAAGCTAAGTTCCAAAGATATGTTTAACAGACTGGAGCGAATCATTTAAGGTAAAGTATGGGATTGTTGTAGTGCAGGCTGTACTTTTATTTTTATTTTTAAAAATTTTTGAAGCAATTGTTTAAAACCTTATCTTTTAATTAATATTTTTAAAAATTAATTGATAGATTAAAAATTTTATTAATATAAATTATGTATATTAATTTTTATATAAATTTAATAAAATAGAGCCTTTTAATTAAAAAAACTTTTATTTACAGATATATCTTTTAATAATATTAAATTTTATATAATTAAAAAATTGATAATAAACTGATTAGGTTTACTAAATCCATTTAAAAAATATATAATTTATATAAATAAAACTTTTAATTAATGTGTCATAACCCAATTTTAATTGGGGCTAAGTGAGAAAAGTGTAAAGCTTGAAGGGCTGAGATGAAGAGCTAGCAAAACGACGTCGTTTTGCCTGTAAGTTGAAATAAAGATAAAGCCCAGGGCTCTGTCGAACCCTAGCCTCCCAAAAATCTCGTTTCTTCCTTTTGCTGCCGACCCTCTCCAAAATTTCACAAAATTCTTCTTGATTTATCTCTAAATCCATTCAAAGTTTGGATAGACCACAACAACACAAGAAGAGATTTTCGGATTTGAAGTCCTTATCAAGATTCACAGAAGATTTTCGAAGTTGATTCAAATTGGGAGTCCTGATATTTAAAGGTATGAATCTAGCCTTAAAAGAGGGAAGATGTGCAAAGACTAGATTAATTTTAGGATTCCAATTTCAAATAGGATTAGATTATTATCTGTAATTTTGGGGATTGAGATTAGAATTTAGAATTAGAAAAAGGATTGGAGTCCTCTATATTTCTGTATAAAAGGGGGGGCACCTTCGGCTTTTGAAGAGGGAAAAGTTGGAGTGAAGATTGGGAGAGAAATCTGAGAGTTGAGAGGGAGAAAGAAAGCAGAAGCCGGAAAAAAAAAATAGAATCAGAGGTGAAGTGGCTGCAGAGGGTGAGCGAAGAAGAAACTTGTATTTGAAATTTTATAAAACAATAAAGCTTTAATCCTTCAGCTCCTTACAGGTGTGTGATTTATTCATTTTTGGTTGATTTCTGTCTTTTTTTTTTATTTAAAAGCATGGGTAATCTTGCATGTCTCTATTAGTTGTTCTATAAATTGGAGGTGATGAAGACTTGCTGCAAAAAGTCTTATTTGTTGGTAGAATTAATCTATGTGAGTTAATTAGGTGTTCGAGGGATAAGATCAAGATTTAAGATGAAATTTGTTTTCATGGTTACATGTAGGATGTTCTAAATGATGTGCAGAACTGGGAAATAGAAACTTTTTTCGGGAGGTAGGAAGTGAGTGTAGGTATTAAAA